TAGCTCATCCATAGGAGCCATAAACCCTAGCTTTCCATGATATGTCTGCCCAATCTTTTAAAGAAGATCATTATTTAACTAAATCTATAATTCCTTGAACCCTAGATTTGTAGGAGCCTCTTCGTCCTAATTCATTAAAAACAAAGATAAATCGAGCATTTCTAGCATAATATAGGATTCAATCATTCAATAAAACTCTAATTAAGGCTCCTATTCCGGGTGCCGGCTGGGAGGCTGCAGCAGTTTGCAAGTCATTTATATTTGTATTTATTTCTAGTCTTATCACATTTTCATTAGGTTTCATTATTTTATTGCTTCTTATGTTTTATTTAGTTTTTTTTTTTGACTCTTTCGTATTTACAGCTGCCAATGCCGACAATTCAAAGATGATTTGTTCTCTTTAAGTAAGATCTTATCACTTTTGGGTTGGAATTTGACTTTGCCTCACTCAATTTTAATAACCAAGTATGTAGTGAGTGAGGTAAAGAGCGTTAGCGCTTGATGATTTGCAATGCTACGTCCTAAGATCAATTCCTACCAAAGCCTACTGCGACAAAGTGTGCGCAAATGCACTTGCCTTATTGCAAAACATTCTCAAGCTCAATTCCTACCAAGGCCCACCGCGACAAAGTGTGCCCAAATGCACTTGCCTTATAGCAACACATTCTCAAGCACTCAACCGCTATCTAGTATTTCATCAAGCAAAAGAGAGAACCGGAAAAGGACATAAGACCTCATTTCACTGACAATAATGCTTTCAGGAGCAATTGTGCTGGATAACTTCATGGTAAAAAAAAATATTTACTTTCAATATTATCAGAACTGAAAAAACAAACACTCAGAAATATAAATTGCAAGTGACTGGTAAAGCTGTGAGTTCAACTCAAGTTTGACTGTCTTAGAAATCATTCATGTTTTTCTATTTCTCATAGCTACTTGGAGGAGGCAACTTTTCGAAATGCATCAAAAGTGAAGCCTTACATGCGGTAGTCATATAATGGCTGTGATAAAATTCAACATTGAGGATATTTGGCAACACTGAACACTTTTGATATGAAGGGCTGCTGCATATATTGAGGAGCCACCGTATGGCCAGTATTCTAAGATTTCTTGAACCATGCTAAAACCAGTGGTCTAAAATTTGGGATCATACGTCTGTTTACCTGATCCAAGACGAGTGATTATCGATCCACGGATACTAAATAAATAAAAATAACAAAATGTTGAACAGCGAAATGGGCAATTCATGGACTCCTCAGAACCAGATTACCCCCTCATCAGTTATTGTTCGAGCTGGGCTATACTGATTTAGGTTCAAGCCAGACGATTTTTTAAACATTGGCCAAAACTGTTACCGTATGAAGCAATTGGTTCAATCACTTTGAGCCATCAAAGCCAAACACTTAGAAGTAAGGGTGACAATCGGAAGGGACGTTGGGCCCTGCCTGGCCCTAAAAAATTAGGGCTTGGGCAACAAAATGTGGCATGGCTGGGCCACCATGGCTAATGCCCATGTGGGGCCTCGACCAGGGTTGTTGCAAGGACGACCCTGTTTGGCCTCGCCCGGCCTTCCTTTTTCTTCAAGTTTTTCTTTTAGGGCATATTTGGTTCACTTGAAATTGTTTTTTAGAAAACATTTTCATATGAAAAAATTATCTCATGTGGTTAAGTTTAGGAATATTTTCACATCAATTAGTTGCCAATTGGTGTAAAAAGATGCTCTAAGACCAATTGGTATGAAAATATTCTCACATTTAATCACATGATAATTTTTTGCTAGAAAACAATTTCATAGGAACCAAACGAGCCATTAAATTTATCCAACCCAGCCAAGAGAGGGCAGAGACGGGCTCAGCCAGGGCATCCAAGGCCAACCCTATGGCAAATTGGGTCAGGCCCGACCCATTGCCTGCCTTAGTTAGAAACCAATTTGGATTGACCACTTATAGTACTGTTTTTTTGCACTTCACTTTTGTTTTTGGGTAATTCAATGGGGAAAACAGACCGTTACCCATTTTTTCAAGTACATTAGGAGTTAGTTTTTAGAAGGTGTTAGTGGAGTGGTGTTAGTATTGGGAATGGAAACCACAACGTGACTAGGATGTGGGGTGCTACCACCACAACCCCTTTCATTTAGGAGCTGTTTGGGAACCTGTAAATCTATTACATGAAAATAGATTACATGGAAATATGACATTTCCATTGTTTGGGTACACTTTATGGCAACGAAATGAGAAAAAAATGAAAAAAGATTATCCGAGATTTCCCAAAAAATCAAGAAATCTATTATGCCCCGATGAAAGGTGCAAAACCTATTAAGCATTTGACAAGTAATGGGGGGAAATCTATTACACAATGTTTTGGATCAAACACTACTTCAAAGTTTTGGGTTTTTTTATTGCAGTCCTATAGTGAGGGCCTTCCCTCCCTCCCCCCTACTAATAGTATTATCATATCTTGGGTTACCATTCTTGTTATTTGCTAATGTAGTTTTTATATTTATATTTATCCGTGAAAATTCTATCGGAGGAAATGTGAACTTCACTTTGTTTTTTGGGTGCAACCCAGTCAATAAGTGGGTAGAGGATAAGAGGTCATGTCGAATAGTAATTCGGGCGAGGGCCCGACCATCAAACCGCTCTCGTATAGATTACCGTTAGCACTGGCTTTGAGGGGAGAGGAAACCAAGAATCCGCTATAAGATTTAGAAAAGAGTTTTCCAATAAAAGAGGGATAGATTTAAAAAAGTGTTTGGAAATAGACAAAAATAAAATGCGAATAAGTAAATAAAGGTAACCTCAAGCCGGGCCCCTAGGCTTAGGACCTTGTTTAGAATCGTGCTTGGTACTTTGACTTTTTCGATCCTTTAGAGTCCGCCGGCTAGGAGTAATCGATACAGGGGGGTTAGGGCACGTTGATATAAATATTAGGATTGAAGGAAGTCAATATTAGGGCTCAGCCTTAGATTTTTTAGGATCCAAGAGCAAATTTCGAGTTCGGTTGAGTTTCAGTTAGGGTTCGAAGTCTCTGACAAGGTTTTCAAAGTCTCTTAAGAGCATCAAAATTGAAGTCTAGGGCTCCTATCTATAGACAAAAGACCCTTCAATGGTGTCACAAAGTTTCGATTCAATATGCGCCGTCGATTTGCAGCACCACTAGTGGCAACATCAAAGTTGGCGTTAGCAACGGCACGACTTTAGTGCCATCAATCATTTCGAAAGTCACACCAACAGTACTAACACTGTCGGTGAATCATTACGGCATGCATAACACGCTTCCTCTCATCAATGCAAATACTGTTCCACTGGACAACTTACGATTGGGCTCATTGATTGGCAACATCACCACCACTGAATGGCATTGCTGCCACCGACCCCACACTCATGTTCTTTAACGGGCATTGCTGCTAGCAACCCCACACTTCTGTTCTTTGACAGGGCTTGCTATTGCAGAGGCGGGTGTGGGCACTTCCAATGCAAGCCTTAAGTATTCCATTTCCAATAATGGTCTTTCCTATTAAATGGAAATACTCTTTCGCATGTGTAGGGAGCCGACTTTTGCTGGCACTGCTACCCATGACTCAGGCATTGACACCACCAATGCTAGGCCTATTCATTCATTTTCAATTATTTCTATTGCCTTATTTATTGGGGTGGGCACCGACGCCGGCGTAAGAGCCACTGATGCTACATTCACGTGAGGCTTTGACCCTTATTTTTTAGTGGCTCTTCAGGTGAGTGGTTCAGGTCAATAATTTCGATACACTATTGCCACCCTTTACACAGGCGTTAGCACCTCCAACACCAATGCAATTATGATGTTCCCTGCTGGATTTCAGGCCTTTCTTTCTGGTCAATGATTTGTTTATATTGTGAATGACGGTAGGCCTATGGCGTTGCTGATCCAAATGTGGGCGTTGGGGGTTCTAACGCTAAGGGGTAGCCCTTTTGTTGCAGCGTTGCTGATGTTGGCGGTTCTGATTCTGGGATCTTGGGCTTCATTGGCCCTAACGTGGGTGTTGGTGTATCTAACGCTTGAGCTCGTGCGGTGATTGTAGTTCGGACTCCATCGTTAGTGGTCTTGACACAAGGGACTAAAATATCATTTTTGCAAACAAATTTCCTTGGGCCATAACTTCCAAGCTGTGTATTGTTTCGAGCGATTCATGAGTTGCTGGAAAGTTTGTGACATATACTTCAATTTAAAATCATCTTTGGCCCCAAAAAACTAATTTATGTACAGCCTATGAGCCTTGGGCTTCAGGGTGTCAATTTTCAGGGTTTTGGGTGCCAGAATTGTGTACGAGTCAATTTTAGAGGTATTTGGTGATTCTAAGGCCTATGGTTATGGTATGGCTTCATGGTTCTTGTGGTTCATAGGTCTTCGACTTCCTGGAATTTCTTCAGTCAGAGATGGGTTGTCTACAATTTAGTATTGTTGTTATTGTTTCATAGAATACTACCAATAAATCCACCATATATTTTAAGAGATTGTCTACAAAGAGGTTATTTATCTTTTGTACAAGGAGGTCACAACTATTTCCACTCATTAGATGTCAAATTGGATGGTTTGGGGTGCGTTACGAAGTTGAAGATTTTTTTTTTAGAATTTTACGTCTAATAAATGACTATCTTACAATCACTTATTTTGAAATCTAGTAGACAAGAATGATTGTGATTTCTTTATACTAAACATAAATGGTATTTTTGTTGACAATCCCATAGTTTAATGTCGCGATAATATGAGATGCAATGTTGTTGTACTTTATAAACTTGGATAAAAACTTGTAAGTATTGCTGTAATGTTTCTAGGTTACGACATAAAATTATTGTTGAATGACTTTATTGTTTTTCACTGTCTCTAATGGTTTACGATATTTTATGACTCTACATTCCCCGACTTGCTAACAATTGTCATTAGTACAAAAGCATCCTAAGTAACCAAGTGGGCCTCAAGTCCTAGAAATTCCCACAAGAACGAGTTTGAAATTTGAATACGTAGGGATTGATTTGCCGCCGCCATTTGTTCACCCCAAACCCTAAAAAGCAAAATGACACGAAACGGAATGGTCTCTGACTTTGAGATGGAGCCATGAAAATAGAATGGAGATCTGGAGTCTTCCCTTTTCCCCCTCTCAGAGGGCCAAGCTCCTTTCAGCTGGCTACACTTATCTCCACTCTTTCTCTCATCTCTCCCCTTCCGCTCTCGCCGCAGGTAACTTACTGCTTTTCATCACTTCTCTCTCTCTCACTCTCTCTCTAGGGTTTATACTAAGAGCTTCATTTTCTACTCTTGAATACAGGAGAGAGTCATCGGGAAAAGCCTTCATAACTTTCTCTCCATTTTTACTCGGGTCTCCATATTTTTTTAGTGACTAAATCTCTCTCTCTCTGTATGTATATAAATATATTTGGATTCTTGAGACTAGCTATTATTTATCAATTCTTCAGCTTGATGTTTAGATTGAGGTGCCCTACCTTGAGTGAGATGACAACTTTAAAGATGTCGTATGTGTGGTGGATATATTTTGAGAATACTTTGCAGTGAAAAATACGCCATTATATATCACTTTTTGATTGTTGTCCCACTCTGTATCAAGTTCACTCAGTTTTGTACCTCTGGATTCTTGGATCTCCTTAGAAAAATTATGTTAATCTCATCCTTATTATGTCGAGGGTGCCTTATCACAATTTCTCTTTATAGAAGCATCTCAGGTTTGCTCCATAACCAATAAAATCTGATCAATTCATTGTGAGGTGCTTAATTTGAATTACATGTTAGTGTATTTGGCGATAAGGTTGGTCATACACGGCTTTTGTTCTTTGTGAGATGCTTGTTTGTATGAGGGAGAGCCTTGGTTTAGTGTTTAGAAACTCAGCCAAGGGACCTGGCTTTTGGCCAAGCGCAATGGACTAAGTGAACTCGACCTAATCCTGTACAACCCCAAAAAAAAGGCAAAAAAGTAAGTAAAAAAAAAAAAGAAACGGTGAAAAATAAGAAAAACATGAAGAAGTAGTAGAAATCATAAGAAGTCCAGAAAGATGAAAAAACTGTATAAAAGATGGATTATTGAAGACTTTGATTTAGATATTGAATATTTATGTTTTTTTTAAAAAGGTAAAAAATATGACAATGCCCAAATCACCTTAAAAACTATCAAAATCATCCAAAAAACTATTTATAAGTAATATGGTGGTGTTTTCCAATTTGCTTTTTACTTTTTTCAATTTTTTTATATTTTTTCTTCCTTAATAAGGGTCGGGCAAGTTCCACAGCCTTGCCCATAGGCGAGTCCGAGTCGACTCAGGCAAGTCATAAAATGCTGGTTTAAACTGGTGGCCTTCTCCATGAAAGCTGGATGTGGTCAATTAGACTAAAGACGAAGATTTGGTGTAGGAACTATTTAGTGGTGAAATTCGTTGTAATCAAGCTTAATATGAATCTTTATATCCTTCAAATTCTTATCCCAAATGGATCATTGAAAAGATATTGATGGCGATATTTTGAAAGATTGTCCTGGTCTAGATTTTGGCATCCCTAATATTTCAAATTGTAAGCTTACTCTTGAGACCAATCTTGTAACGTCAAAGATGTTTTTAGTTAAACCTAAGGTTGAAAAAATCGGCCGCTGGCTGCCGCCTGTGCATAGCCTAGGCCGATGGGTCTAGGCAGGCATGTCCAAGGCGCCTTGCCCAGGCCCCCGCCTAGGTGGGCGCCTGCAGGTCTGGGCACCCGCTGTTTGCCAACCCCTTAAAAAAAAAAAAATGAAAGCCATGTTAAAGAGAAAAGAAAAGGTAAGGCCTATATCTCTCTCTATGTCTATCTCTATATCTCTCTTTTTCTTTCATGGATCCATGTGCTCTCTCTACATATAAGAAGAAGAAGATGGCCTCCAAAAGTTAGATGCAAGGTCTCTCTCTCTATCTTTCACATACACACATACCTACACAAAGACAAATGGACTCATATGCGAGGTCCCTCTACAGAATCTCTCTCTCTCGACACATTGGAAGAATAAAAAAGAAGAACATACTCCAAGTGTTCAAGGCCTCTTACAAACACGGATCCATATGCTCTCTTTTACTCTAGATATAAGAAAAAGGAAGATGGTCCTTAAGTATTTCATGTGAGGCCTCACGCTCACACACACGTGCACTGACACATACACACACACACACTCTATATATGTACAGTGACACACGTGCACACACACACTATATTTACACACTGACACAAAACATATGCCGCCCCACTTCCCCCCTCTCCCACTCCCTACGGCTGCCCAGCTGCATAGGTGGTCAGGGCCCTGGCTGCCTCCGCCTTTTTGAACATTGGTTAAACCTTTCAATTTTGCTTGTCAGATTTAGATGTTTCTCCACAAGAGGCATCGGATGTTTTAAGGGTTGTAACACAGGCAGGAATGATGCGCAAGCCCGATTCTATTGTTGCTGGTGGGAAGTCTTTTTTTTTCTCCCTTCATTTTCATATATCCAGTATGACAACTTATTTTTGGATTTATCATAACTTTAGATACTGCAGAGCTGTAGCTTTATCATAGTTGATTTTTTACCTTATGGCATTTGGAAGTGTCCGAGATGCATCATCGATACTTTGGGATAACTATTTCCGATTTTCAAAGGAAATATCATGAATATAATTATTGAATATTTTGGTATTGGATGAGACCCTGATTTCCAACTACTTATCTCATTGATTTTCATCTTTCGCAGGTGCACAGACAGCATGGGACATTCTTTGCGAGGATCGGACAATGAATCATATTACAACATCTTGTGAAGATCTAGACGGCATCTTAGGTGGAGGCATTAGTTGCAAGGAGATCACTGAAGTCGGTTAGTGAAGCTACTCTTTGCAAGTTGTCTAAGACAACTTGACTCGTCGTGACAAACTAATTTTTCAGTATTTAGATTCAATATTTGTGGTGGCATACACTTTCCTGTTTTAACATGTTGTCTAGATCAAATCTTGTGACTGGCATGAAGAAACTTCTTCTATATTTAAAAGCTCGGACGAGATTCTGACCAAGGTCTAGTTTGAGTTTCTAAGTGCTGGTGAGAAAGTGAAGTATGTTTGTTGTCTAATGTGGTTTTGACTTAACTTATTTTTTCAGGTGGCGTCCCTGGCATTGGTAAAACACAACTAGGGTATGAAATTTACGTTGCTTAGTCAACATCAATCTTTTCTTAAATACAAGTCAGGTCTTGTGTTTGCTTCCATCTCATAAAATCTCTTCAGTATTCAATTGGCAGTCAATGTGCAAATCCCAGTTGAGTACGGTGGTCTTGGGGGAAAAGCAATTTATGTAGGTATGACCCTCTAAGAATGTAGTTTTTGCGACACTTTAGTCTTCATTTGCCAATGGCGTTAATCTTCCCCGCTTACTCTATTGGTGGGGACCTTTTCTTTTCTTTGGTAAAAAGTCAGTTGGGAGCAGCATTGTCAATACTTGCTCAGTTGTAAAATCCACTGGCAAACATAATGACATCACATTTTAAAGTATATTGTCTTTTTATTACATAATGACCTTTCCCAACCACAGCATGGAAGAACATTTGAAATCATGTTTGAGAATCGATCTGATATTTAAATCCTGACAGATACAGAGGGAAGCTTTATGGTGGAGCGTGCTTTTCAAATTGCTGAGTCCTGCATCCAGGACATAATGGATAAGGTTCTTCAAACTGACGATGTTGGTGTTTGCCAAGAAAATTTGCATGTAAATGCTATTCTTGCAAACATATTCTACTTCCGCATCTGCAGCTACACTGAGCAAATTGCTGTTGTAAATTACTTGGAGAAATTTATTTCAGCTCAGAAAGATGTAAGCAGAAGATAAAAATGCATTTCATGTATTGAATATTCTTTGCAAATTGCCATCTTGCTGGCTGATGAATATGCATATCCTGATTAATTCGGATTATATGTGTGAGGATGGAGCGCCATCTGTTTATTTATTTTTATCAGCTTTTTAGGAAATCTTCGTGTTTGGGTACTCTTCACTGAAAGTGTGCATTAAGTTACTGTGTAATGGTTAAGAAGTTGAATTGAAATAGGCTGTTATAGTTTTCATTATTTTGTAATTTGAAAGTGCCATAAAATACTTATATTGGCCTTCAAGATATCTCACTTGGGATTTTTAGGTTCCAGAATCTTTTAATACGGGGGTCTCTTGTGAAGAAGTTGACCTTTCCTTCGTTTTAAACCATAGGATTATTTAAACTCTGTCACCTCTTCATGGATGTCCTGCTTGGGTGGTGCTTGTCCTCACTTTGTGGGAATTCTTTGGTAGTTCATTGACGTTTGGTATTCAAGATTGCTGCCTTGTTGCTCCTATTCGTACTTTTACTCCTTTGGCTTCTTGGCTCTTTCATACTTTGATTTGACACGATGAACTCTGTCATGGCGAGGCAAATTCATTTTCTATTTGGTCACATCATTTTCTGTAGTTGGCATTTAAAGCAAGGTATACATCAAGGGATTTCTGTTTTACCTTTTCAAGGAACAAGTCCGATTTTTTCTTGCACAACCACCTCAGTGTTCTTTTCCATGTTAGTTTTGGTCAACTTACAACTGAAAATCGTTGCCTATATCTATGTATTGAACCCAAAACAGAAATTGACACCTTCATATGTATACATTCATTGAGTTATGCTCCCATAATGAACGCTCATAACCTCTTGAATATGGATATTACCGTGAAAGAGTTTTGCGTCCCGCAACTTTTATTTTATGGGGAATTTTTGCAAAACAATTGTCGGATATTAATATCTCTTCTTATATTCCCTGAAGGAACTTCTATTCTCTTAATGTTCATCGCATCAGAGAAGTTCTATCGCTGATCTCAAGTTGTCGTTCATTTATAGGGTTCCCTTATTGGATCTTTCAATTCTGGTGTATGAGCATGAGATTGTTCAAGCCACATCTCCTTCTTGCAATGGATTGAACTGTTTGAAAAACAAACCTAGTACTGAGGTATTAGGGCTTATAAATGCAATAGCCTTTGCCAAACCGTTTGAATACCTTAGTCATGTTTCAATACTAACTTGATGCCTTGATACATCAGCAACATCAGTTTTTATTTTATTTTACCTCTGTTTTCAATGTATTGATACAAATCTGCACATGGTTTCGAGCATCCATTTGAGCATCCAGTACATCTGTAACCGTGATCTGTGTGTGTAGTTGTGGGTACTTCTATGTAATGGTATGTGTCTTTATATACAATTACATAAATAAGTATGTCTACGGATAAATTGTGTGTGTGTTTGATGTGCATGGGTGTCAAATCAATTTGTGTTTATATATTGGTACGATTATTTTGGCACATAATTGAGCACTGATTTGTTTATGATTTGATTCTGTAATATCTGATTTTTGTTGAGGAGATTGTTTTAATTTATGTTGGTGTTATTACAGGTTAAAATTATTATTATAGATAGTGTCACTTTTCACTTCCGCCAGGATTTTGATGATTTGGCCCTTAGAACTCGAGTTCTTAGTGCATTAGCGCAGAAGATGATGAAACTTGCAAAGAAGTTTAACCTTGCGGTACGTGTTTGCATCTATTCATCATAAAAATGTATGTTTCTGATGTCCATCCTGATCGTTCTGTCATTATTGCTGTGCTTACTTCATTCCTATTTCATGTTTTAATGCCAGAATTTGTATTATATGCTGTAGCTTGGAAATTGTAAACTATATTTTGTAGTTAATGCCTGAATTATTAGTTATGTTCATAATAACTTAGTCTTATATTCGTACTCCATATTCCATGTTCATACATTGTTTTGTCAATAATGTTATTGCATGGAGGTTTGATATTTTTTAGGCAAATTTAGATCGATGATATTTCATTTTTAATCATGTTTGGAATCAATGATCAGATCATATTCTATTAATTTTTTCCTGGGAATGGATTTTGTTTAGATATTTACTTTGATTACCACTACGTTATGGATCATTGTCGCATGAAAAAATTTGCATGGAATGGGGAGCCCAAAGCACAATTTTGAAACATTGGGAGTGAAAGTAGTGGCTATGTTCGTTGATTTGTCAACTTGGGCATGGGAGGCTGAGATGGTCTGGAAGGGTAAGCGTCGCCATTTCAGGCCTGTGTTAACCTAGAATCACATTTACGATTTGTATCCTAATACGCACCTCCTTCTTTCCTCTCCCAGGTCACCCCCTCTTTGTGCACCTCCGGTGACCCCTCTCAGCAAGGCAGTAGCCGCCTAGCCTCTTTCACTCAAGTTGTTGCTGCTCCCAAACCAGCTGCCCCAGTCCCTTCTCTCTCCCCTGCCTTCCCCTCTCCCCTGCCTTCCCCTCTCCTTTCCCTACTTCCCTCTCTCCTTTTCTCCCTTTCAGTGTTCCCTCCTCCCTTGAGAACTCTGCGGCTCTTAAAGCCAAGCTTGCAGCATCCTTGGTGGGTAGCTTTAAACCTAGAAGGGATGACCTAACAGGTTTAAAGAAATGGGCCAAAGACCTCTGGCAAGAGCCTAACCTCATTTGCAGCCACCTCTCCGGTGGTGAGGTTTTGTTCTCTTTCCCTTCCTCCTCTGGGGCCCAGACTGCCTTATAAAAATCAGCCGCCCTTTCCTTCAAAGGGGCTTCTTGCTCTCTACGGCCATTGTCCCCGAAAATTGGATCCTTCAAGAAACAACGGATATGGCTCACCCTCTCCCATATCCCTTTCCATGTTTGGTCACTCGAAACCTTCAAGAGATTAGCGGCTGCCTGTGGGTCCCTCATCTCTATCCACTGGATCTCTATCGAGTCTCTTCCCCTGGGAGCCATTCGCTTGCTTTTGGAGATACTCGACCCCCAACGGATCCCCCAATCGGTGTGGCTTGAAGCTGATGGTTTGTTCTTCCCGGTCTCTACCTCTTGGTCACATGCCTCGGCCCCCTCCCCTAGGCTCTTGCGGTAGGATCGTTCTTTTTTGGGATTGGAAAGCCCATCGTCCTGGACGGTGGTAGCAAGAAGAAAGCGTAACAGTTGTAGGCCCCCAAGACATCCCCCTGACCCGGGCTTGGTTCTTTGGGACCAGCAAAGGTCCAAACGCTCTTCCAAAAGGTTAGATATGTCTCAGAACCCTGTCCCGACAGTCCAGATCCAGGAAGCTACACTCGGGCTAGATTTCGTAGACTTTCACTCTAGAACGCATCGACCCGTGAAAGAAGGGCTTGTGGAAACTACCCCACCCCCCCCCCTCCCCTTCTTCTCACTTCAAGGACAAGCCCGGCCCTTTAGTCATACCCCGCCCTTTTGACTTCCCAAACGGGGTCCTATCGGTAATCGACCCGCAAGCTTCGGCCCACATAACCTTTCAGCCTATCTCTCTCTCTACTCTGCCTCTCGCCTCTCTCTCTTCTCCACTGTTCACCACGTTGCCCACCTCTTCACCTACCCTTGCCCACCTGGCAGTCGATAAGACAGCCCCCACCTCCTCCTCCCTGTCGCAGCCGCCCTCTGCTGCACAGTCTTCCACTCTCTTTGCCTCGTCGCCCTCCATGTGGTCCACCTCTTCACCTACCCCTGACCACTTGGCGGCTGCTTAGGAAACCCCCTCCTCTTCTCTGACGCAGCCGCTCACTGCTGCCCAGCCGTCCTCTCCCGTACACCTTTCGCTACCCTCGCCGCCCTCCCCTTCGCAGCCCTTGTGCTTTGTGCTGGAGGACCCTTCACCCCCTGGACACGCGTCCATGGATCTGTCGGGCAGAGCCTCCCTTTTACTGTCTTCCTCCTCCTCCCATCTCCTCTCACTCTCTCCTCCTTCCTCCCTCCCTCTTGCTCAATCTCGTGGGGTCTTTAATATACAGAGCCTTCGCTCTCTTCGAGTGGACCGCTCCTCCCCTTCTTTCCCCCCCTAACCCCTCCTCCCCCTCACCTCTTCTTTTTCTTCTTTTGCCTTCTCTCTCCTGAAGATCTACTTTCCCTCGGCCTCAAGCCCGTCGACCCTTTTCTTCCCAAAGATCTGGTCCCTTTGGGTATTCCTGCAGCTCTCTCCATGGATCCTTCCCCCCCTTACCCAGCTTTCCTTTCGGATTTTCTCCCCCCCCACATCACTTTCGTCCCTCAATTGGTCCTTGGTCGTCGCCTTCAAACCCTTCAGGTTGTCTGGCCCCCGTCCTTTCCCTTCGCCGTGTCCACTTACTCCTCTTTCCAGTCTCACCTTTTTCTAGCCTACATCCCTCACGACTCTTACTCTATCCCCTCCCAGGTTTTGCTTCTACCCTCTATCCTCTCTCCTTCATCCTTACCTCTTGTCTCTACCCCTCGTTCCCCTCTCCCCCCTCCCCTTCCCCCTCCCCCTCTTGGCTGTCCCTATTCTTCCTAGCACTCCATCCAGCAGGAGCCATCTGTTCTTGCTACTTCGCACCCTCACCCTTCCAATCTCCCCTTGTCATTTCCCTCTCTGCCCTTTGACCTTTACCCATCTTATCCCCCATCTCCCTCTCCTGTTGTTGAATTCCCTGAACTCAGTGATCCCCCCTTGAATCTGGATAGTTACGAAGGGTCCTCGGAGAAGCCTTTGGATTCTCTTCCATCGAAGGCCTCATCTCAGTCTTCTGTCCTTTGCTTGGCCTCTGATTCCCTCACGACCTCAACCCCCTTGGCTTCAACCAGCTCCCTCAAGGATCTAGCCGTCTCTAGTACCTCCTCTTCCCAAAGAATCGCATGACGAAGAACCTTTGAAGGAAGGTAATGAGGACCCTCTTAGGGAGTCCAACGGTGATGTGTTCCATGTATAGACTTTTGGGCTTGAGTACGACGGTTCAGAAGGCCTTGCTTACAGGTTCTTGACAGCTGATGCCTCGAGTAGGATGCAGGTGAGAATCAGGGGTCAGAGGGAACTCTACAACCTCTTCACTTATGTTACCTTCGCTGGTAAACCGTTAGATCTCTCTTTAGCCTTGTCACCAGAGAACCGCCTGAGGAGGTCCCTTAGACTAGCCTCCTCCCAACCCCTTTCTCCTACCTCATGAAGTTCCTGATTTGGAATGTGAGAGGCTTAGGTCAAGCCTCTAGAAAGTTTGTAGTACGTGCTTACACCACCAAACATTCCCCCTCTATCCTAGCCCTTATTGAAACCAAACTTCTTGATCCTAACCTTCAACTTGTCCGTAGTGTGTGGGGAACAAGGCCGTGCCTATGGATTTCGCTGCCAGCTATAGGGGCATCAGGTGGGATTTGGGTGGTTTGGGACCCCTCTGACCTACCATTAACCACTACCACATTGGGATTTTCACGGTCACTCTCATTCTAACCACATTGGGATTTTCACGGTCACTACCACATTGGGATTTTCGGAATACCTTTAGTGGAAGTTCACAGCGGTCTACGGGCCGAATTCAAGTTCACTCAGGCCTAGCTTCTGAACTGAGTTGGATCACATCTCCTCTCTACCCCATCTTGTCTGGTGTTTGGGAGGTGACTTTAATGTCACCCGATGGTCCTTCGAGAGGAATACCTCCTCCTCGTTTACTCAGGAGATGAGGGATTTCTCCGACTTCATCAGCCGCAATGAATTGTTAGACATCCCTCTCTAGGGAAGTAAATTCACGTGGTCCAACCACTCCTCCAACCCAACCCTCTCCAAACTTGACGGGTTTCTTACTTCTGTGTATTGGGATGAGAAATTCTCGAAAACCACTTCACTGGCCCTACCTAAACCCGTGTCTGATAACTGCCCTATCCTCCTGGATACCAATGCAATCCCTAGAGGCCCCTGTCCCTTATGCTTTGAACTCCATTGGCTGCAAGATTCCAATCTATTTCCTCTGGTCCAATCCTAGTGGACTACCATCGCCTCTCAGGTGTCTGGTAGAGCAGGGTTTAAACTTCAGACCAAGCTTCAACTCCTAAAGTCGGGTTTGAAATCTTGGAGCAAATCCTTCCCTGCCAACTTTTCCCTCATCAAAGCCAGCCTTCTGGAAACTTTAAAAAACTTGGATGATGTCGAGGAAACCCGTCCCCCGGACCCTTCTGAGTAGTTACATAACAATACCTCCTACCTTACCCAACCTTGAGAAATCGAGCAGGACCTACTTTCTTTCTACCAATCCCTTTACTCTACCCCTCAAGGGGCAAGACCTAAAACCTCCCTAAACTTCTTAACCCTTCCTGCTGACCCAGCCTCGTGGTTAGAACTTCCTTTTTCTGAGGATGAAATAATTCAAGCCCTCAATGCCTTACCAAAAGACAAGGCTCCGGTTCTGACGGATTTCAGATTGCCCCCCTTAAGGACTTATGGGAGATCATTCATCCGGACTTCCTTCTCTTCTTCGAAGAGTTCTTATAAAGAGGAATCCTCCACAAATCCTTGAACGCCACGTTCTTGGCTTTTGTCCCTAAGCTGAGGAAATTAAAGATTATAGACCTATTAGCCTTCTCAATTCCTCCTACAAGCTCTTGGCAAAAACCTTAGCCTCTAGGCTCCAATCCGTCTAGCTCAGGGTTATCTCCGGCTCCCAAACATCTTTCGTAAGAGAGAAACAAATTCTGAATGGGCCATTAGTTGCCCACGAGTGCATCCATTCTAGACACCT